GACTGACGGGGCGGTTAACTCAACCACTGTGCTTGCATCTTGAATTCTCGTTTCTGAGACACAGCACACATCAATGCCAAGCGAGTTCAGTGTGAATGCAAGAGCAGCTTGTTGTCCTGCTTGCTTCAGAGTGCGGACTTTGAACGCGGCCAGATAGACTGGGTGTCGAGGCTTGAAGATTGAGTTGGAGATTCCTGAAGATGTCGGCACCATGTGACGAGCAGATGCTGCACGCAGAACTGATGCATGACGAACGGAGTCATCAGTCCTAGGTGCTGGGCCTACAAGGAGAGAGTTATTAATGAGGTAGGGAGAGGGGGAAGGGAAAGTATGTGGAGAAAGAAGGGAGGCGTCAGCAGTAGCCTGTTTTCGCTTCCCCGCCCTGCTGTATGCAGTGAATAAGGCGACCCGGCTGATGGCACCACGCGACGGCCGATGTGGCATGAGTTTATTTGTATATGTGAAATTCGTGGTTGTACGTGGACTGGGATACTGCCAGGGCGCTCACACCTAGACAGGAGGACGATTAGGGTCCTCAACCAAAGCCTTTGGCTCAAAAGCCTAACCGCAAGGCAGCGGTGTTTGGCGGAAAATGCAAATGCATTACCATTTCTACGGAACAAGTCGCCACATGTTCCAACCCCCAACCTGGAGGGCCAGGAGACTGTGTTCGTCAGACCTCTAACCATTGACCAACCTGGTATGAGAGACTCTCTGAGTGTCGCGGGACACTCTCCAGTATAGCTCAATGGATCGCTGAGGTACGCAAACCGTCACACCACGGTAAGGTCTAGTCTCTTCGTGATAGCTCAAACCTTGGTAACGGAGGATTCAAGCAACGAGAACATGCCAGCTTTATTGCGAACAAGAGAGTACAAAATTACAGGAAGTGTCGCAGTACTAAAGACGCGCTTTTGAGCCTGAATCAGGACTATCCGGTTGATAAGGAATGACTGATTGACATAGCTCGTGGAACACACCTGAACACTCGACGATCGTCGATCATACTGACTGCCTTCTTGGATGTTCGGTCAACTGATGGCTTTTCTAACCCGGATGCCTGGCGGTTTCTCTGAAATGATTTTATTGGAGCGAGCGGCTTCAAGTAGGTTTCGGACATTCTGAGAGTATTTTCGAGAATCCTACCTTTGTTTTATGTCCTCCGTCATCACACGTGGGTCTGAGCCAGAAAGGGGCGAAGGCCCCACAGTGCTCAGTTTGGCGGTAGCTACTTACATTCCACACTGCCATGTATTAGCTTATCCCCCGCAAGACTTCCGCCGATAATCACTCGGAATAGAAAACAACCCTTTCTTCGGTAAACGGTATTTTGGCACACTTAGCACATTCTTCAACCACCTTAACCTGGCAAGTTTGATTTGTTGCCATAAGGAATCGGATTCGTTACCAGGTACCTGATCACGTACCACATCGTTGCAGAACAGCTTCGGCTTGAGCGAGATGGCCCAAGTGGTTAGAACGCGAATTTACTGGTCCGTGGTTCGAACCCGACCTCTGCCTCTCGACTTCCCCTGTCTAGGCTTGGGCAACCTGGCAGTATCTCAGCCCTCGTGCAACCTTCAGGTGGCATGGCAGTTAGGCGCCGAAAGGGTGCAACGGCTGAACACAGCTTCGGCTACGAACACACCAATGATCACATACTTGAAGACAACTATGGTCGTCGACTTGGAGGGTCGAATTCTCGCAATCATACAGTAAGACTGCTCTTACAGTTGAGGAAAAAAACAATAAACCGTTCAGCACCCTTATGATGCCTAGCTGTCATGCCATTTGAAAGAAGCGCGAGGGCTGAGATACTGCAGGCTGCCCAAGCCTAGATAAGAACAATTGAGATGCAGAGGTCGGGTTCGCCCTGGTGTATCCCTGAGTATCAAGGGACGTGTATCATGCTACAGTGCGGTATGTTTTGTTGTATGGCTATGAGACTTGGCCTATTCGAGGAGTGGAACTGAGACGTCTTCAGGTGTTCGTCAATCGTTGTCTCAGAACCATTGCTCGTGTGGGTTGGTGTCGGCGTATCCGTAACGAGGCAATTAGGGAGCGAGATTTCGGCAATGTCACGGGTGACTTCATTAAAGAATGTGTCCAACACCAGAAGCTGCGTTGGTTGCATATGCTTAACCATCCTTCGCCGAAGAAAGTGCTGTTTTCCATTTCCAACTCAAATTGGCGGAAGCAGAGGGGTGGAAAATGCTTAACCTGTCACGGTAGCTTCGTACCGCTCTTTATGGAGAAAAGCAAGATTATCACAACTGTATTTATAGCGTGACCACAGAGTACTCCACAAGGTCGCGTTGGAATCTCTGTGAGGGGGTCAGGAAGCGTCGAGCTAAACACGCTCCATTCAGATTGACTGGTATTCTGACCAATCAGGGTATGCCGTCTTTTGGTCCGTAGCCTACACGTGACACATCCTTCCAAATGATGTGATGTTCGGTTATTGGGTTATTGGTTATTAGGTGGCTGGCTTCCGGACAAACTGGGATCTAGATTCAGCGTGAACAACCGATGGACAGTGTTATTCCACGAGCCAACTACCTGAAACTAGAAAAAAATTGTTGCTTACTAGATATGCGTTCTCTTCTCTTGAAAATCATCCGAACATGCTGCCATCGTTTATTGGTTGGGTCGACGGTTAAAAAACCTGTTGGCCAAATCTCGTTCAGTTTGGGCATACTTATTAGGTCCTCCAGGATGCGACGCTACTCAAGGGGAAGAGTCCAAGCACCCCATGCCGTGTTTCACATTTAACAGATTGGAGTTCCTCAAGGCTCCGTCTTGGGACCACTCCTGTTTCTGATCTACGTCAACGACCTCCCAGACGTTCTTGCGAGTCCATGTCTACTGTTGGCGGACGACTTGAAATCCTGGAGTTCCAATGCCAGTGCCCTCCAAATGGATGTAGACGCTGCCAAGCAGTGGTCGTTGGACTGGCACCTTCCTCTGAATGATGAAAAGTGCGTCCATGTGTCGTTTGGAGGGGATTCAGCGAATGCCTTTGTTATGCATGGTGAAAAGGGACCAGAAAACATCATGAGGATAGATGCCAAAAAAGATTTAGGCATCTGGGTCTCCTCAAACTTGTCCTTCGCACTACACCATGAGAAATCGGCCCAAAAGGCATTCGCCGTTTTACGGATGATCCGACGTACCTTCTCCCGTATTACTCGCATGGACTTCCAAATACTCTATGGGGCCTACGTCAGACCGCTCCTGGAGTACGCCAACCAAGTTGTCTACTCAGGACGTACGAAAGACGTTACCCTCATTGAGCGTGTCCAGCGGGCCGCCACGAGAATGGTTGCCGGCCTCAAGTCCGTGGACTACGAAACGCGTCTCGCGATGCTTGATCTCTTTCCCCTGGAGTACCGTCGCCTCCGAGGGGACCTAATTCTTACTTACGCCCTGTTTGAACAAAGCTTGGCAAACAGGTTTTTTACCGTTGACCCAGCAAACACCCGGCGGGGACATAGTAAGAAAATCTTCAAGCTCAGGGCACACACATTCATTAGACAAAACTTTTTTTCATTTCGGGTAGTAGCTGCGTGGAATGACCTTCCTCCGACGGTTGTACACGCTCCTTCTCGAACCCAATTTAAAGCACTATTAGACATTTATTTATGCGAATCCTCGCGCTGGCGAGCATACTGCCCCGCGCTGAGAACATAAAGAGCAGTGCTACACCCTTTTTTCACTTGTGCCTTTCAGGTGAACGACAGCCACTGACCGACAAGAACAAAACCGACCCGGTAAACTTGGGCAAAAGCCTCGATCCTGTGTATCAATCCGTGAATCCGTGAAGGCCAGAATCCACCTTCGTAGAAGCCCATTGTGCACACTAAATGAGAGTCACAACATTCTGGTGTCCTGATTGGGCATCTTGCTTGGTATATTCAAGAAGCGATCTGGCGCATGTTCTGTAAAAAATCTTGGGGTCCATGCGAGTTATACGGGAAAGTTGAACCAAATCATCTGTAGAACGACTAATGCCTTTTGAGAACATTTTTCCTGACGAAGTGAGGATATAGCCGAAGAGAGACAGATACCTGAATTCTTTTTGTAGCTTGTTCAATAGTCTAGTTCATTCAAACCATGCACTACAAAGCAGTCCGTGGAGTGTCCTCCGAAAGGCACACGGACCCAGCTCTCGACTCTCAGAGGAAAGTGCCGATCTAGTGACTACTGCTATGCAGCATCTACATCCATCAAAATGGCACTGGTGTTGGAACTCCAGGATTTCAAGTCGTCCGCTTCAGGATGTATTCCCTAACCTTGAACGGTGTACAAGTTAGGTTAATACGCACGTAGCTTTCGGGGGACAGTCAGTCCTTAGTTTTGTAGATTGACAGTCGCTTCCTTCAAAGCAGAGGCAAGGATTGCATCGTCGAGTGGCTGACAAAATACCAAGTACAAATGCGATATGAATGTGGGCTATGTTTCCATCGCGATCCTTAGATGGAACCCGCCTGACACCAACGCACTGAAGGGCTCGGGCTTGACGAAAATCCTTCTCCTTGAAGACCAAGCCGGTTAAAGACCGTTTGTAGGTAGGCCTTGCCAAGATTGGATGTGATTAGGCCATTGAAGCAGAATAAAGACCCGCATATTGTTCTCCTTAGGCTTCATATCTCATAACTGGGTCGCTGTTGGGTAGCCCGTTTTGTCACTCAAGGAGAGGGTGTTAGGTTTATTTTTTGGTGGTGTTTCATGTGTTTAAATAGCGAATTCACGTTTTTCGTGGGGAGAGCTTGTATTGTGTCCTGTTTTGTTGGCCAACTTCTGATCTATATCCGCGTCTTACAAAATTACAGCTGATCTTTTGTGTCTCCCGTAGTTTTCTTTTAAACATTAGTTGGGACCATATTTTCAGAAGACACCGAATCTTTTAGAGTGGCTTTTGGTCCTTTTGGGCGAAAACTGCACCGGCTTCGTGAATTTTCTGGACAATGGTCATGCGTGTCTCCTCCACCAGAGCCGGTCCTGGTTTATTCTGGAAAAAGAATGTACGCATTACTGAGTGGTTTGCTAGACAGAAGTTTCGAATCCACGTTTTATGTTCCTGGCCCGGTAGCGGATGAAACCAAAGGCCAACACATACTGGTCATCATGTCCCGGTGGGCCATAATTAACACTTGGTAAGCGAAGTGTCTTTCGTTGGTAGTAACTAAATCCGGCAGAGATTATAGTTGGGAAGCGCGGTATCTTGTGGGTCTTAAGACGTGCTGAGTCCAAGGGCTACGTTGAAAGACTTCGGTCAGTGCCCATGCGTGGAACTCCACCCAGGAGATCTTGGGAGAGTTAAACTCCCCTATCAGTAACTGTTGTGTGAAGATGCAGCTGGAGGAGAGTTGCTAAATGGCTTGTATGACGAACATGCTGTCTTCTGACAGACTTGAGGGGTCCGTCTTGAGGGGAGCGAAAAGGATAGAATGGGTCCCCATGCAGCATGAGTTGGCACCCAAAGAGCATCACAAAAAGGTGTATGAGTGCTGTCGGAGAGAGCAGTTGGGGTTTGCAGGGCCGTATGAGTATAGCACAGCTCTACCTGCCCTCTGACATTTCGAGTCAGCTCGGAAAAGGGAGTATCTGTACATCGAGATTGTTTAGTATTTGTCGGTTTCCTGTAAGTGCTGTCACATACGTTGCTCAAAGCAAGCGGAATATCGAATGCCGCGAATGTCATTGAAAACTGTCTAAGGATGGTCGACTTGCCCCCATTCGACGAGCCGAAGTATAGTGCACCATTGTTTTTTCAGTTCATTTAGGATATCTGGCAACCTGATTCGGATGACGTGCCTCCCTGAGGCCTAGGGAGATCGATGTCCAGTCCCTCGTGATCTACTTTTTCCATAAATTCCAGTTTATTTTCCGTTATCTACTATGATTGACAGCAGGTCCAACAATGCATAATGTCTAGTAATGCATCTATTGTTTATCAGCTAAAGGCACAATATTCCATATCAAAGGGGATGATCTGAACCCGCGCGACGCCAAGGTCAGTTAGAGGTTTGCATCACGAATTCAGCGATAGATACAAAGGACCGCGGCTCCCGCCTAGGCATTATGGTTCAGGTTGGTTAACGACACCTAGAGGCTTTCGTTCAACAAAATGGCACAAGCGAAAATTGGTGCTTCATCAGTCGCTTGATGGAAGCCACCTTTCCTAAGCCTGGAAGGAAGCTATTGCAGCGCCAATCTACAAAACTGCTGACTCACAATCGCCCAGCAGCTACAGGCCTATTAGCCTCACAAGCATGCCGTGCAATGCGATGGAATTCATTCCTTAGCGAGCCATCCTAGATCACCTTGTTTCCGACAATTTGCTATCTCCAGATCAACACGGGTTTCTTCCGAAACGGTTTTTGCGAGATGAATACGCTGGTATTTCTGGACAACTTCGCCAAAGCCAAGGACGAGGTACTCATATCGGATGCCATATTTTTCGATTTTCAAAAGCATTCGATCGAGTCCCACACGTGCTGCTGCTCCATAAACTCGTCTTACATGATTTAATGGAAAATTCTACAGAGTCAAGGCATCCCCATCAGACATACCATTCCTGGTGAAAGTGGGCTCAACTTACTTCTCTCCGGCGCCGGTATTCATTCGAGTTTCTCAGGACTCCGTTTTTGAACCACTGCTGTTTCTGGTATACGTTAACGATATTCCTGGTGTCCTTGCGAGCCCCCGTCTACTTTTTTGCGGACGATTTGAAATCCTGGATTTCCAATACCAGTGCTCTCCTATTGGATGTAGACGCTACAAAGCAGTGGTTGGAAGCCAGGCACCTTCCTCTGAATGACGAAAAGTGTATCCACATAACCTTCTGAGGCAACTCAGCGAACGCTCATGTCATGCATAGTGAATAGACCAGAAGACATCACGGGGATGGAGGATAGAGCCCGGTTCAAAGCACTGTTAAACACTTTATATGCGAGCCCCGCGCTGGCAAGCCGGCTGCCCCTTGCTTAGAACTCAAAGAGCAGCGCCACACCCTTTTTCGCTTGTGCCTTTTATGCGTACGACACCGCCTAAGCGACAAAAACGAAACCAGCAAGAGAATCTTAGCGGAAGCCTTGATCGTTGGCTTTCGGTTCCTGTAAATGAGTATATCATAAAACTAATATCCGAGAACAATTATAGAGCCGTTCCACCATCATCAACAATCAAAACGATTCTAACGCGCAACCTTCTGAATAGCAGTTGAAGAAAGCTTGGCCACAAAGCGAACGCTCATGTCATGCATAGTGAATAGACCAGAAGACATCACGGGGATGGAGGATAGAGCCCGGTTCAAAGCACTGTTAAACACTTTATATGCGAGCCCCGCGCTGGCAAGCCGGCTGCCCCTTGCTTAGAACTCAAAGAGCAGCGCTACACCCTTTTTCGCTTGTGCCTTTTATGCGTACGACACCGCCTAAGCGACAAAAACGAAACCAGCAAGAGAATCTTAGCGGAAGCCTTGATCGTCGGCTTTCGGTTCCTGTAAATGAGTATATCATAAAACTAATATCCGAGAACAATTATAGAGCCGTTCCACCATCATCAACAATCAAAACGATTCTAACGCGCAACCTTCTGAATAGCAGTTGAAGAAAGCTTGGCCACAAATGGATGAGGATTTCCCACGATTTTGCGGGACCCGTTTCAATCAAAAGTCGATGCCGAACCGGCTGGTAACTAGGTATAAAAATTTGCACAGCATACGTCTGAATGTGGGTGTGTTACGTTATTCGGGAGCGCGTTCCATGTCTGCATGCCTCTTGTTGATCAGGCTATTGTTCCGCGCGGTAGGCGGCTAACCTAGTGGTTTGGAACGACAGGACGCTGAACTGAGCCCGGGGTCTGGGATGAGTACTTGTTTGAATGGATGCCGGAGGTCAGGTGCGTGAAGATCAGTACTCTATGAGGCCTTCATTATTGAAGCCCGTGAAAGTCGTTTTTCAAACATTTCTCTTAGGGTTTACTTGATTAGCCTACAACGCTTGGGTCGCATTCCTCTGACCGAATCGAGCGGATCACGAATGCTTTCAGCATAGTCGTATCTGACCTCCGGCATCCATTCAAACAAGTACTCATCCCAGAACCCGGGCTCAGTTAAGCGTCCTGTCGTTCCAAACCACTAGGTTAGCCGCCTACCGCGCGGAACAATAGCCTGATCAACAAGAGTCATGCAGACATGGAACGCGCTCCCGAATAACGTGACACTTGCCGAAAACACACTCACATTCAAATTTTATACCTATTTGCCAGCCGATTAACTACACGACATTGACTCTTGATCGAACCAAGGTTTAGAAGCTTTTTAGGCATCGGAAGGGTGAAAATATCACCGTCAACCCGCGCCTGTCGCCTGCTTTGGACGTGACAGCGCACTCATCGCGCTATCCCTCGCTACCCAAAGCCGATTGAGGAAATACAGTTATAGTAATGATGATGATAATAATAATAATAACAATAATAATACGGAATAATTGCCGGGTTGGACAAGTGTGTCCAAAGCCACCATTGGTTTGGTCTTTTAAGATATTTCTCATGATTCCCTTGCCAGTCAGGACACACTAGAGTGTACTAGCTTTAGAATTATCACAGTTATCCATGAAGTTCATAGGAAGAAAATTTTCAAGCTCAGAGCACACACATTCATTAGACAAAATTTTTTCTCATTTCGGGTAGTAGCTGCGTGGAATGACCTTCCTCCGGCGGTTGTACACACTCCTTCTAGAACCCAGTTTAAAGCACTGTTAGACATTTGTTTATGCGAATCCTCGCGCTGGCGAGCATACTGCCTCGCGCTGAGAACATAAAGAGCAGTGCTACACCCTTTTTTCACTTGTGCCTTTCAGGTGAACGACAGCCACTGACCGACAAGAACAAAACCGACCCGGTAAACTTGGGCAAAAGTCTCGATCCTGTGTGTCAATCCGTGAATCCCTTCTACTCCCTTCTACTTCTGTATCTAAATTCGCCTTTTGCCTTTGCGTACTTGTTTCACACCTGGCCCAACTAACACGCTACTGGAATATGGTGAACAGGAACCGCTAAACGGCAAGACCAACACAACCCCTGAAGCCCTGATCCTGTGTATAACTCCGAGAATAGGCGGTCAATTTCATCATCCTACCACCGATCCCATAGTTCCCATGTGACAGCTGAAATCCACATCAGCACCAAACGCCTACTGCTGATATCAACCTGAATTCGCGCCGCTAAGCGTGAAGCGCGAAATGGATGCTGCTTTACTAGGTCCGCAACAAACCTGTGAAACCTGGAAATTGTTGAGCATTTCGCCACCGATTTGTTTGTTCCTTCCGATAGTGGCGCAACAAACCATCCCGGGGCATTTGGTGTTGTTTGTTGTTTTGCGAAGATGGTTCGTTTATGTCATTTTCCAGTTAACCGCCCACTACTTTAGTCTGCGTCAGACATGAAGGGACATCAAACGGTGACGCAGAATAAAAGTAAGACCTCTGCACTCGGACGGACGACGAAGATAGAGCTCACAGATGATCAAAAGCAAGAGATAAGAGAGGCGTTCGATTTATTTGATACGGAGAAAACAGGTTCGATCGATGTTCGTGAATTGAAAGTTGCCATGCGAGCTTTGGGTTTTGATCCTCCGCGCGAGGAAATCAGGAAGCTTCTGTCTGAGTTCGATTGTGACTCAAAAGGTCTGCTGCTGTTTGGGCGAATATTATATGTACATTAGAAACCATAGAGTTCAGTGATTTTTCGAAGATGGTGGCCTTGAAGATGCAGAACAGAGATGCAAAGGATGAGATTTTGAAGGCTTTCCGACTGTTCGACGACGACGGAACCGGAAAGATTTCGTTCAAAAATTTAAAGCGTGTAGCGAAAGAGCTGGGCGAAACCTTGACGGATGAGGAGTTGCAGGTTAGTTGTTTTAAGTTTACCTTCCTGTTCTTGTTAGGAGATGATTGATGAAGCAGATAGGAATGGAGATGGTGAAGTCGATGAAGAAGAATTTCTGAGGATAATGAAGAAAACTAATCTCTACTGAATCCCAATCTTCGATCCCAATCATTCTCCCGGTACAGTGCTGTTATTCTCGTGGAGAATAATGCAACTCTTGGTCGGTGTACAGTTTTGGTGCGTACTTGTGGCTAGCTTTTACGGAGACGTTTGCGATGCCCTCACGCATCCTGCTAACTGCATTTACAAATAACTCGATTGTTACATTTTGTGATATCACCGTTTGATAACTATGATTCTTTCAACTTTATCTGGCATTTATGACTCCGGGTTTGAGGTAAGAATGAAATGGTGGGACATGTATTTGTTTTTCTGAGCTTCTTTAACGTTGTTCCGGGTCTCACCGACCCCATAGGTCTTTAGGAGGACGGATTCATCAACGAACATTCGGCTCACAATTATGTCAGGGGAGATGGTCCATCCACAGCCTAAAGTTGTGCAAGTTGTAAATGACCCCTGTATATGGTTTGTACTCATATTTATCAGCGATGGAATCCCCCTGTCCGTAACCACAATTCAACCCGACGCATCATCCAACACCAGATAAAACTGAGTGTCCGTGCAGATCCAGAATCTTGATGGACCCGAAAGACAACAGATATGGAAGGTGCGGAAAATGCTGGAAACGTCTGTTTCACTTGATTCGCTCGACTGGTCCTTGGATGTCTCCTATCAACAAAACTATCAGGGACCAAAATGGCTCTGCGATATTCGGCGATGGAGAACGTTTGTAACGTTCGGCAGTTTTTCTCATTCAGTTGGCCATCTGCCACCTCACTCCATAATTTTAGCCTTCACCAGAAAGGTGAGCCATAATTACGGAGCCCCCTTAGACGTCAGTAATGTCCGACTGCATATCTCAACTCAAGCGTCGTCGTGATGCTGGTCCTGATGATCACCTGCTCTCTTCAAGGATGATGAATTTCTTAGCCAGCCCCTGTCTAGTCTATTGGGGTGCATCTGGAAGAAAAAGACCATCCCGGACAACTGGAGTGAGTCGATAATAGTGTCCATTTTCGTAGGCAATGTACTAACTACGTAGGCGGTAACAAGGCTTCTGGTGTCACTGATTCTTCGTCGTCTTGCTGAAGTCGGCGAATATGTTAGCATCGAGCCCGATTTCGACCAGGTAGAGGCCGCATCAACCACATCTCCATATTCCGTTAGATGTTAGAGCAACGCCATATGTACAAACGATCCACAATCTGGTTTTTGTTGTTTGATTTAAAGTGTGCATTCGACTCTGTCGATTGGTCATTATCATTTGCTGAACAACGTCCCAGGAGTTTGTAAACCTAATATGGTCCCTTCTGAGTGCACGGCTAGTTTTTCAAAAGTTTTCCTACGAAACTTAGTGACCGACAAGGGTACCCACTTCCTCTGTTCTTATTCAACTTCTTCATCGACGAATTGGCGAGGAGAACGCTGGTAATTGTTCAAGACTCCGGTATTTAAATCGTCTCTAATGAGAACATTGTTGATCTCGAGTACGCAGATGATATCGCCCGCATCTTCAAAGACAAAGGCGAAGCACAAGCCCTGTTAATTAAACTGGCTACCGTCATACTATCTTTGACATGCCTCTTGCACCCTCAAAGCACAAAGTCATGCTTCAGGGCATGCAGGCCATGAACGTACTCCTTAGAATTCAAGGAAACTAGTCAGAGTTCCCAGACGACTTTACATACTCCGGCAGTTGTATTAGCTCGGATTGAAGTGACTCTGATGAAATTGGTGCATGAATCGAAGGCCGAAATCCAGTTTACTGATTTGTGCCGATTATGGCGTCGCTATGGCATATCATTGGGTCTCAAGGGTCTCGTGTACCAGGCCACAGTGAGGGATGTATTATTGTATGGTTGCAAGACATGGCCTCTGCGGACAGATTATACAAGCCGCCTTTAGGTTCTTGACCACTGATTCCTTGGAAACGTTGCTTACTTGGAATGTTCTCTACGAATTTGTAACGAGGTAATTAGGCGACGGCTTTCTGGTTGTGTGGTGAATACTTAAGTTGCGGAAAATATCCGGCACTATCAACTGCGGTGGCTCGGCCATGTGGTACGCATGCCTAAATTCCATCTACCGAGACGGATGTTTATGTCTGCGCATCATTAAAAGTGGTGCACACGGAGAGATGTACAACGTGTGTCTCGGCAGAAGGGTGTGAAAGAGACTGAAGTGTTCAGGCGTTGTTGGTGCGTTCCGCCTTCCTGTAACCACTTAGGTGCTTAACTGCTGATACCGCAGCAAATGGCGGCTGATATTCGTCAGTGGCGTTCGTGCTGTTAGCTTCTTTCCGGATTGTTGGATTGAACGCTCGGTGTTAACGCTGAGGTTAATGTCCCCGTTAATGATGATGATGATGGTGATCACATTTACCAAGTAACCTGAGTGCTTGAACCCTTTGACGGCGTCCCTGAACCCTTAATTTGGGAGTATTGTTCATCCCGATGCTGGTTCACTCGAAGTATCTTGAATACCAGCAACGCATATCAGCTGGTCCTGCCGTCTAACTGTGACCAATTAAGGCACCAAATCTGGTGTATTGCAGATGGTATATCCTAGCAACCCTTGCGGGTAGCTAGTCGTCGCACAGGTGCCAGTAAGGTTTCTTTTGGCAACCAAGCATGCGGATGCTGTTGTTTTAGTCTGTCTAATGATTGTTGTGGCGTTTACAGTGAGTAAGTTGCGCACTTTTGCCTGTAACTTTCCGAAAAGAGTGCCATTTGACCTCACCAGACCGCTTTGCGGTTTTTCTTCGTGTTGTCTTAATATGCCACTACTCGACTAAATTTAGCCTCGCATGACAGTCTCGATCATCTGACGCATCAGTGTCAGTCTAGGAAACCGTGCTCGTATGGCGCGAGTAATTGCTGGCATACTAGGCTTCATGGGGCGCGCTTATCTACTTACGAATGGATCTTTAACCAAAAAACGATGTGGTTCTTGGAACTCGTGTGGATGGAGATCCTCATGCTTTATATTGTCCGACAGTTTTTGCATTTAAATGAATTGTAAGAGAGTCCAAAGTTGCAGAAAGGGCTTATTGTCACCCGGCACATAATGAGTGCTTTCAGTCCATTGTTCAAAACAACTTTCTCACTGCGTAATGTAAGCAAGAGCGGAGGATTTCATTCATTACTCTCAGCTACTGTCCGCTTGCTGGTTGATCAGGGTCTTTGACCGTTTCGATTTCGTTTGCCTAAAAAGAGGGGAATAAAAGTGTCTAGCTACGCATTTAGTAGCGATATCTGCCGGCCTTTATTTGTCAATTCCTGAAAACCATCCGATGGCATCATCATCTAATAACGGTAACGTGCCAGTGATCGACACTGATGTTTAACTGTATTATATGGAGACGAATTACACGGTTGGGAAACGTAACCGAGAATGGTAATGGACAAATTCAGTGGTTTATAACATACTATTGACAAGGTGCTTTTGCCTTTTAATGGCACTAAACAATAATCCGTTTATCTCCTTGAGTACGTCTAACTTCATTAACAAGCCCGGAAGGATATGAGTTTTTTTAACAGCAGTGGTTTATACTATTGACAAGGTGCTTTTGCCTTTTAATGGCACTAAACAATAATACGTTTATCTCCTTGAGTACGTCTAACTTCATTAGCAAGCCCGGAAGGATATGAGTTTTTTTAACAGCAGTTTTGTCTCAGGCGTGCCAGACCTCAGATGGATGGTGCGCAGAGCATATTCCAAATCCTAGCCCGAAAGTACGATGATACTATAATCTTGAATAAAGGAAACTTGTCCAATTCCGCGCAAACGTTTCACACCTCGCCTGGCAACTGAAAGACTTGCAGACTCTTGAAGCAAACGAATCAATCATAGCCGTTTTCCAAAACCCCAAATGGTCCACCGGTAGATATCAACTAGAACTCGAATGCAGCAGCGACAATGCTTTGTGCGAATAGTTCCGCCTGCTGTTCGGTATGCTCAACCACTAGATATCAGACAATAGTAGAATTGCTTGATTTACGGGGAAACGCTCCTGGGGGTCTCGAGTACACCTGGTCCCGATGGTTTATAATAAATAGTGATGCGTGCACTGCTCACGAGGTCCGGTGGACGTGAGGTCAAGTATGTTAGGAAACCCCGAAGACTTCCAGTCTATCCGTGCGAAGTGTCCCCAAAACCCTGCATCATGGTTTGAATAGGTCAAACCATCGTGAATAAAGAAGAATGCCTAGGTCGCTTAGCTGAGCAGTACGGGTAACGATCCTTGTATGCACCTGCCGCTATTTAGTCAGGCTTTCGAAATGAACGGGAACTTTTGATGATTGATGTGGGACCCCTTAAGCCTTGCAAGTGTCACAATCCTCTTGGACTGGACCACATTGAGGCTTAGGTCTTCAGTCAGTACTCGTCTGTCCCTGTTGTGGCATAAAGGCCCGCAATTGTTGCGAAAATCACAGGTGACAAGGCATTCGGTCAAGGCGTTAGTCTCTTCTTTCAAGAAGGTAATTCCAGTGCCATCAGTGAGTTCAAGAAACGTAATACCGTTTCAACCAAAAATAATTCAAAAGTCCGAGCCTGATCCACTGATTGGCATAGGTTAAGGCAGTGAACTTTTTTGGCCTCACTGTTGCTCAAAACATCGTCAGTGCAAGTTTATAGGTGTAAACGTGTAAAAATAGGGAGTAAAAACGTAGAAGCTTTACAGGCAGACCTCTGTATCCTTTGTCCATCCTGATCGCAGTACGGATTCTTGTTTCCTCTGAATGGTTAATGGATTCGGCCAACCACGCATCTTCTCACATTCGTTGATAAACTTGATATTTACGAACTTTGAGTTGTTACTGATGGTCTAACCAGATGTTAGCTAAACGACCTGGCTATTGATAAGTTGCAGAAAGTTTCTTCTGACTATCCGTCGATCCTTGCGGAGTGTCTGATGGTTACGGAGACGTGGGCTCGGAGTTGCACCGGATGTATGGGGTAAATTTTCGGTCGGGTCCCGAAAACCTCGGCCATGTGGCTCCACTGTGGGAGTGTAGAGGTGTCGGG